GTCCAGCACCAAGTGTTGAAGACTAGTTTTTCCTCTTAAATGTTCCAGACATTCTTATCAAAAATCAGCCGATCACAGATGTGTAGGTTTGTTTCTGGACTCTTAGTTCTATTTCTTTGATTTGTATCTGTACCTTTTTTTTTTTTTTTAAGTGTATTTATTTTGTGAGAGAGTGCACGGTTGCGTGCAGCATGCAAGTGGGGGAGGGGCAGAGAGAGGAAGAGAGAGAATCCCAAGCAGGCTCCGTACCGTCAGTGTGGAGCTGCACCTGCGGCCCGATCCCATGAACCGTGAGATCATGATATGAACTGAAATCAAGAGTCAGATGCTTACCCGACTGAGCCCCTCAGGCGCTCCTTGCGTGTCTATACTTAATGACAGTACCACACTGTTTTGGTTGCTGTGGCTTTGTAGTAAGTTTGGAAATCAGGAAGTGTGAGTCCTCCAACTTTGTTCTTTTTATTCCCCCCAAGATCATTTTGGCTATTTAGGATCACAGAGTTGTAGTCTTTGTTCTATCCTAAGGAGGCTGTTGGAGGATTTGGATAAGGTCCAGAGAAGATTAATTAAAATAATCATGGGTTGTAATAGGCTATTCTTATCAGTTTGGTCTGTCTGACGGATGCTGTCATCTGGAAGGAGGAGGGCCAAGAGGCAGTTTATGATCAAGTCGCAAGATCATGAAGAGAAAGGGCTACGCCAGCTGATTTCGGCACTATGTTGGCTACTATAAAAGTAGAAGGTGAGCCCAGTGAGGTTTGAAAGAGGCAAGCTTAGTGTGCCCAAACAGGGCAGTGCTCCATTCTAGTACAAAATTGATGAAGCTTATTATAATTCCCCAGGGAGCAGTTGATATAAGCTAAAAATCATAAATCCTGTCGCTTTAAAGCATTTTAGAACATTTGTGGACCTTTATCTACCCGGACAAATGTGGCCATTTTGTGGCTCACTTCTTACCTTTTGAGGTTGGTGCTACCACCCTGCACGCCCCCCTACCCTGTCCCCTGGAGATGCAGTCTAGGGCAGAATAGCGGGCTGAGTGGCCGTGAGTCCATGCCTGTATGGTGGCGCTTGGGAATTCCCATGAGCCCCACCCTTGCTGCGTGTCCTCCCCGTGTAGGCCAGCGGGTCAGAGAGAGAAGACCCAACCCCAGTGTCCTGCCTGTGGTGGGATTGTCTTTGCTGAGAGCTGGCCATGTCAGTGTCTCCATAACATGCACCTAGACAGAGGCTGCTCAAGTTGGGACTTGTTGGTCTTCCGCCAAACACAGCCTCTCTCATGAATCAAATTTGCATCTACATCCTCCCACATACCACCTTCTCATCATATTTTAGAGCCACGTTCAAATCTCGCTTCGGTGGTTTTGTCTTTAGTTCCGGTTTGACTGACTTGTTTATAACAAAATGCTGGGCTAGTGAGACTGTCGTTCTGACCACTTTTTAACTTGGTTGTGTCTAGAGTGATTTTGATACTCCTCTGTGATTGGTTTTCCAAATTGTGTCATTTCTACTACATAACTCTTTGGTTATGGAATACGGAAGAGTTTTAGGTATGTATGTATTGTTTATATGCACGCGTGTAGACTGATTTAACCTGATGAGTCACTGTGAAGTACGTTATAAAGGGCTATTAGCATTCATTAGTCCAGATTTAGCTTTTCAAAGAAATCATGATTAGGTTTGTGATTTAGTGTACTGTACGTTTACAGTAAATTCAGGTATTTTTATAATTTTATTATCACTTATTTTGAAAAACAAACATTAACGCAAGACTAGCCCTAATGTCTGTCTTTAAAGTCCAGGAAAAAGTATATAACATTTAAAGCACCACTTCCCATTGTTGAATCAGTGATTCAGACAGTGTGAATTTAAAAACAAACTGGATTCAGATTTCAGCTGGAGGATTTAGAGGTCATCTAGTTCACTCCCTTCTTTCTGGTCAGTCATGAGGAAAGTGAGGTTCAGGGAGGTTAAATGACTTGCCCAATGCTACACGACTAGTTACTGGCAGAGCTGAGACCAGAACAGCAGTTTCTTGCTGTGCCTGCTGTGGTCTTACTGTAACTTGCCACTTCCTAATTAGTGGTTAAAGAGACACGTTTGTGCGTGTGTGTGTATGTATGTGTGTGTGTGTGTGTGTTTGAGTTTTACATTGAGAGGAGAGATTAAAATTTACTGAACACCTATTTGCTAAGCACTTTTGAAATGTATTATTTCATATAGTTCTACATAGTCCTGTAAAATAATTCTTAACAGCCTCACTTTACAGATTAGGAAACCAGGGTGCTCCAGGTCATGTGATTAATGTTAGCGCTGGTATTTGAGCTTGGCTCTTTCTGACCTGTGCCTGCCATGATACCCTGCTGTGGCTCTACTAGTAGTAACTGAAACCTTTTCAGGGGTGTGGGCAGTAGTGATGGTTATCTTAAAATCCATCTTTTTCAGACTTCTCCCTCACTCTGTAAAATGTATAGATGTACACAGATGTGCGCAGGGAGAGTCTTTCTCAGAATACTCACAGCACTTAGCGGATGTTTGGCTAATCTTCATACCATCTCTGTAAGATAAATGGTATTTTCTGGTTAGGCGGCTGAGGCTCAGATAGATTCAGGGACTTGCCTAAGTCCTTATCACGAACCCGCATGGCCCCGCTCCCAGTTCCGTTCTTCGTCCCGTCTCACATAGATTTCACCACTTTTGTTCTTTCCTGTCTTACACCAAGATTGTTTAAGTACTTCCCAAAAATAATGAGCCACGTGTGGGTGTGTTCGTTCTCCAGAATGAATCACTGTGAAAGAGGCCGTGAACCAACGAAGGGAGAATAAATATCTGGAATCAGAGACTCTTGGCTCTCCTGTCTAATTGACAGACTCAGAAGTGAGCTTTTTTTCAAAAGGCGGCTACGGGTCTGGCCTGTGTGTCCCACTGTGCTCAGAATAGCCCTCTTGGAGTTGTTCGTTTTCCCTTCTTGCTTCCCAAAATAGCCCAATGCTGTTCTCTGTGCTGGATGTCACGGCACATGTATTGAGAGGTGTGCGCTCCACGGGGAACCCCGTTGTGCCTGAATGTCCACACCAAGGGGAGGGGCAGTAGCTTTCTTGGATTACCGGTCAGGACTCCGGTGTGAGTAGAAGAGGTTTGGCTCGAGTATTCAGAGAGTTGCGGAAGTAAATTTCAGCTGGCAAGAATAAAAGGGGAAGCAAATAAAGGCATTTGGGGGAAAACGAGGAGAGTTCTTCGTCTTTCCTGTGTCTAAAAAGGGTTGGAATCGAAGTTTAGGAAGAACTTACTTTTAAAATTCCTTTTATGATTTGAATCCTAGTCTAAAGGGTACCTGCTTTAAACTTCCTGCCCTTAAAATAGAACGCTACTCTTACCCTTCAGCAGGTAGCTGCGTGCTTTGGAATTCCTCCCAGAAGAAAGGGCTTTGATCGAAGGCCTTACGGTAGAGGATCCACAGCGGCCGTTTACCTGTCAGTGTGCGGGTGCTCTCTGCTTTGTTTCCTTGGGTGGGAATGGCGAGGGATCGCGTCATTTATAGAAAGCCTGGGGAAGGGGGCTTGGACACTGAGATATTTAGAATCGGTCTTTGGAACTGAAAAGCCGAGAGATGCCTTCTAGTGTATTGCAGGAAGAGACAAAGATAGACTGTTTACAGCCTGAAGGGGTAAGTTACAACAGGCTAGTTTTTCATGGGATTGGTCGTAAATGTCTCTTCTGTAGGGGCTTCGGTTTGAATATATTCCCACGTGGTAGCCAGATATTATTCACTGAGTGTCCAGTCCGAGACTTGGGTGGGCTCTGCCACCTCCATTCCCTGATGGGTGGGTGCTTCATTCGGCACTAAGTCCCAACCTAAGTGTCCTAGTGGCCACAGCCACACGCACTCCCGCTGGTTCCAAGAGGTCAGGGCTAGGTTAGGCCCATGAGAGACAGTGTTGGGGAGAACCAACTGCTGCTGTCTGTGCTATTCTTGTTAGATGGATAAATAAAGGATTTCAGATTCCAGGGCTGCTGAACTGGCTTTCAGAGGCGCCAAATTCATTTACAGTAATTTCCTGTCAACAGGGCACACTTATGTATAAAACACACCCAGCAGAACTCATTAGTCCCAGAGATGATTGCATACACTGCCTATTTGGAAAGATGGATGGATGGATGGATGGATGGATGGATGGATGGATGGATGGATATTATATTTTAAATGTGATATCCAGGGGCCTTCCAGAGTAGGTTGAATTTATTGAACACATTTTATATATTAGCTCATTTCATCCTTACAATAACTTGATGAGGAGGGCATTAATATCGTCTTTGGAGGTTATTCTTTTTGTCCCTCATGAGAGGTGCACCTGCCATGGACTAAAGGGAGGAGGAGGATGTTGGACTAGTGGGCGGGAAGCGTTTCAAAGGAAGTGATGGTTAAGCTGAATTTTAGAGGATTTGTGAGAAGTAGCCAGGAAAAAAAGCATTGCAGCAAAAGAATGTGTGAGAGCATGCATACTGCATTCAGAAAACGGTGGGCATGCCTAATGCTGGAGAAAGGAGATGGGGTCGGTGAGCCATTGTCAAGTGAGGAAGCCTGGATGGTTTGGGGTGGGGCAGGAGGTGGTGGCCTGTGTCTTCCAAGGGGAAGGTACCTTCCTCTAGTCCTCAGGCGTCTATTTAAAGGAAAGCTTCTTTCCCAGCCACAAAATAATGTGTGATAAGTCTAAGGCAAAGTTCAAAAGGTCCTTTCTCTGTTTCTCACAGGCATAAGATAGGGAGGACACTTAGAAGAAAATGGTAGGGCTTGCAAGCCTGCTTTCTGCACTGAATAAACAGGTGAAAAGTTTGTGCTCCCGTTGACGGTGTCCTCTTTCTGGCCCTCTCTCTATAAAAGCTCCTTATTTGGGAACATCCAGTATGCTAAAGGATTATGTTCTAAGTCTGGAAAGGGACCTAGGATAGGATCTCACCGTTAATGTCACCGTATTCCCAAATTTCCTGCAGCTCTGCAGTGTGCATGTACCAGCTGCCTCCAGGCCAACTACACGTGTGAAACAGATGGGGCCTGCATGGTTTCCATTTTCAACCTGGATGGGATGGAGCACCACGTGCGCACCTGCATCCCCAAAGTGGAGCTGGTCCCCGCCGGGAAACCCTTCTACTGCCTCAGCTCTGAGGACCTCCGCAACACCCACTGCTGCTATACTGACTTCTGCAACAGGATCGACCTTAGGGTGCCCAGTGGTGAGTGGACACCCTTGTTGGACTATTGGCTCATCCTGGAGGTAGGGCACCCCTGTCATTTCGTCCTTCTCTACTCTTCCCTAATCCCTTTGTTTGGTGATAGGTAAAGGTACCTTTTTGATGTTCCCTAAGGTGACAAGGGGATAGGATTCTTCCCAGGTCAGATTTGTAGACAAGAGGTTGAGGGAGGCAGACTGTCAAGGTTGTCCCAGAGGTGGAAGCTGCGCTTTGGAGACTGGCTGAGCAGCCATGGGCAGCTGGTGAGGGGTGGGAGAGCCAGGCAGGGATCCCCATGGAAAGGTATGTGAAGGCAGCTGCTGGGTGAGGGTGATGGCGGGATGGGAAGAGAGGCTGGAGTTGGAAGAGAAGGACAGCGATCCAGGCTGGGAAGTTTTAGGTGGCACCCCTTTGCAAATGTGCCATTTAGAAGGCATTACTGGGGAGATCGGAGGAGGGGGTACTTAAGGCTGCAGAGCCTAGCACAGCTGTCACGAGTGGAGGCACAGAACCTGGTGTCTGTCTGGGACACTGAGGCGGGATAGGCCCGTGAAAGGCAGGCGGTGACACAGTGTCTTGTGAGCGTGATTGCTGAAAAGGGCCCCTTCACTGGAGAGGTTTGCATTTGAGAACATCAGGCAGACACATAGCCCAGTGAGACCTGGGAGATCGAGGGCACCTTGAATGCAGGGAGAGGGAAAGGGTATTCGCACGTGGAGGGAGGTGTCGGGGACAAATAAGGCCAGAGCTTTCCCATGTTTTTACTGTGTTCTTTCCCTCTCCTCTCTCACTTGACCCAGGTCACCTCAAGGAGTCTGAGCACCCTTCCATGTGGGGCCCCGTGGAGCTGGTAGGCATTATTGCTGGCCCAGTGTTCCTCCTGTTTCTCATCATCATCATTGTTTTCCTTGTCATTAACTATCATCAGCGTGTCTATCACAACCGCCAGAGACTGGATATGGAAGATCCCTCGTGTGAGATGTGTCTCTCCAAAGACAAGACGCTCCAGGATCTTGTCTACGATCTCTCCACATCAGGGTCTGGTTCAGGTACTGAGTTCTCCAGCGGTTGTGTGTGTTGTTGGTTTTCGTCACTGTTCCCCAGCAGGATAGAGCGTTTCTGAAGACTGGGCCTTGCCCTTGTTTCTGCCAGCACTGAGGCGTTTGGTTTCATAATTCCCCTTCTTTTAGAGTCTGATATGTAATAAGATAAAGGGTTCACAGAAAATCTTTCATTCCCTGGGATTCCAAAGGTCAAGTGCAAAACTCTCCACTCCAGAAATCGTGCCTCTTTTCAAGTCTTGTAACTGTATGTCTATTAAAATTCACCTGGTTCCACCTGAGCAGTGGAGTGCTCAATTTAAGGGCCCCTTTTGAGAAACAGGAGTGTGCCGGGTTTCTCTTGGTGTGGTGACAGCTAATCATTGATCTCCGAGCAACCACAAGGGGAGTTTAAGGACATTGAGTAAAGCTGAGAGCTGGGATTTGGTGAATCATTGACTTGTACCAGTTGCCCAAGGGTTTTTGGGGGAGGTTAAATAAAGGCAACTTGGGCTTGCAGCAGGCTATCTGCACCATTTCCTGTACTGCCTGTTGGTAACCGAGTCTTTGTCAGATGAGAGAATTGAACCGAACCCTGGACCTTGATGTGAGCCCAGAATTCAGGATAAAGGGGCTGGGGTCGCTCACGTCTCAGGGTATACCTCAGCTGGCTATTAGATGTGAAATGACTACAAAAGAGTCTTTTTATGAAAATAAACAATTATTTTAGTGATGGTGGTATTCTGTTCTTGTAAAAAAAAAAAAAAAGTCATTTGCAAAGGTCACTATCGCCATTCTAGCTAAAACACACAGAATTATATTGTGAGGATTTTGTACGTGTTTATGTAGGTTTCCTTGCCATGTGACAAGACTATTGTTCTGTAGGGAAATTATGCCATCAGTCATGGGCAGACATTCCTCCTTGAACACAAGGAATACTTTGAGCTGTGACATCTCCTGAATTTCAGTGGTTTTGCCTTTATTAAGCTCTGCAGTAGAGAGTGCCAAAATGATGGATATATTTAAAAGCTGCATATTTTTAGGAAGAGAGAAAATATATGTCTTGTTCTTTGCTGAAAGAGGTAGGGCAGTGGTTAGAACTGGCTGACTGACTCTGTGACTTGATTTGCTGTCACAGGAGGGTACCTCAGGTTTTCTGGGGTCTTTTTTAAGATCAGAACTAGCTGAAGCTAGCGAAGGTCCATGGTGGTTACTTAGTCATCCAGAGTAAAATGATTAATAACTATTTCTCCCTGGATGGTATAGTCCGTTATCAATCCCAAATATGCAGAGTTTCCAAGGTGCTGGAGTTTTAATACTGTGGTTTTTAAAGCAGTAAGTCCATGCTGCTTATGTGACTTTCGATTCCCTTTAACAAATATATGCTGAATACCCTCCAGGTGATACAGGGTAAACAAAGATGAAAAAAGCTGACCCAGAATTGGGTAGAAGAGATAGGGATTGCTGGGAAGGGCCTCATGGGGGAGGATGCACTTAAAGGGGTCTTGAAGACTGAGTTGGAGGTTTAAGGAAGTAAGAGGACAGGGAACGTTCCAGACCAAGGAAAACCCCTTGAGCAAAAGGACAAAAAGGCACGGAAGTTCACTGTGTGTTTAGGCATGACCTGTCCAACTGGAGGATGGGGACTGGCAGGCCAGGCCAGGTGGGAAGGACCTTGGGTGCTGTGCTTTATCCAGTAAGGTAAGAGGCATCCACTGGAAGTTTTCATGTGGCAAAGTAAATGTTCATATTTTCCTGTGGAAGGAATTCTGGCAGTGGTGTGGAGGGTGAATTCACTCATTTACCAACCTCCTGTTAGGGAGGGTAGGGTGAGGCAGGGCTGTCCGTGGGTATGCAGGGCAGGAGCAGGGTGACGAGGGAGGTGGAGAGACCAGTTGGGAATCTTTTAAAGAAGGGTCAGAACTTGGACGGGCACAGCGGGGATGGAGAGGAGGGGTCTGATGGGAGACATTTTGGTGATTCTATACTGTTGTAGTTAAAAGCATCAACTTTGGAGTCAGACAGTTCTGTAGGTCTAGGTTTTAATCCCTTCTTTGCCTCTTTCAGCTTGAGTGAATTCAAATGAGTTACTTAACTTCCCCCCCCCCTTTTTTTTTTAATGTTTATTTTTGAAGGGGAGAGAGAGAGCAAGTAGGGGAGGGGGAGAGAGAGAAGGGGACAAAGGATCCGAAGCAGGGAGCCTGACAGCAGAGAGCCTGATGTGAGGCTCAAACTCACGAACCATGAGATCATGACCTGAGCTGAAATCAGACGTTCAACCGACTGAGCCACCCAGGCACCCCTTAACTTTCCCTTTCGAGCCTTAGTTTTCTCATCTGTAAAATGGGGATAATAACACCATCTAACTTATATAGGTGGTTGTGAGGAAAGGAGATAATTTATCTAAAGCTTTTATCATAGTGCCTAGTGTGTAGTAAGCATCCACATCCACAGGACTTAGGGATTAATAACATGTTTATTTGGTCTGGGAGAGGAAGTGAGAATTCAGAGTCAGTCATGATAGTAAGTGTGATTGGATAGATTGCATGAAGCAATAAATGAGCCCTACAAAGACAGTAAAATTAATCTTAGGATAAGCATGGGTAGTCTTGAATTCTGTGTCTGGAGCTTGACCTGTGAGCAGAGCTTTGATCTCTTAGGAAAGAGGTGGGAGCCTCGTAGGCCCAGTTTGGTTCTCATGGGCCACATGGCACCGCCCTCTAGTGGCCACTGAGCAGAATGGCCGGAGGCACCCCTGGGGCTCAAGCCCTGTCTCTCTCATCCTCTCTGCCCTCTTTCCTCTAAAGTCTGCATAAAGCAGATGTGGGTGGACTGGCCCACAAGAGGCCGGCTGCAGAGTTGATAAATCTGATCGGGGGTTGTGTGCAAGTCTGTCGTCCGTACTAACTGAAAGGAGAAATTGTTTAAATGAGGCACAGCTGATCGCATGTGTTTCCCTTTCTGTGTTCATTCACCCCCAGTCTCTGCCTGGCTTCGCCCCTGCTGGCTTACCTGGACGTGGTGTGGGGCACCCTCAGCTCTCCACGGTCAGCGGGCCAGGGTAGAGCGGGGGCACTGTGTGGTACCGGCCTTTCCAGTGTGGCAGTGAGGGTGGGAGTTGCAGAGTTTAGCGAATTTACGGCATCTGCTTTCTTTCCATTCTTTGGTCCCCAGGGTTGCCCCTTTTTGTCCAGCGCACAGTGGCCCGAACCATCGTTTTACAGGAGATAATTGGCAAGGGCCGGTTTGGGGAAGTGTGGCGTGGCCGCTGGAGGGGTGGCGATGTCGCGGTGAAGATTTTCTCTTCTCGTGAAGAACGGTCTTGGTTCCGGGAAGCAGAGATCTACCAGACAGTCATGCTGCGCCATGAAAACATCCTTGGATTTATTGCTGCTGACAATAAAGGTAAAGAGCTGGGCTGGGAGCGTGTCCCAAAGCCAACAGTAGTCCCAGATGCAGGGGGTGACTGGGGAAGTTGAACAGCTGTGGGACTGCACTGCTCTGTTTGCCTTCGTGGTTGTTACCAGTAGAAAGAGAATCTGAATAAGCTGCGAGTCCTTCCAACTTTTCTTCTATGCAAAGCTTATACAGAAAGCCAGGCTATTAAGCAAGCAGTTACTAAGCAGATAAACAAGATGAACCCCTTAGCCCGCCTGCGCCCTTCCCCTCCCCCCTAGTGGAGTCCCTGTAGGGGTTCCAGTTAATTTACCTTGAAAACCGCTAGAATGAAGAACCGTGGTCTCTGCCCCGCCAGGGAGGGATAGCCCGGAAAAGCATGCGGTCCATGTTCTGTGACCTAATCAGCATCGTCCACCCTTGCAGTGGAGCAGGCACGGCAGGGATGACCTGGCTACCCAGAACGTTGCTCCCCGATGGTCTTTCCAGCTCAGTGTTTGGTCTGCTTGTACCTGAGTCCCTGAGCTCCTCCTTCCTCTCCCTTCTGATTTTTTACTTTTTGAGTCTCTTGTATGGCCAGGAGCATCCTCGTTTTGGAGAACCTCACTGACTAGCAAAGCGAGAAGCAAACTAACAGTTGATTATAGGAAGTAGTCAAACAGCACACTGTTCTGGTGAGCACAAATTGGGGCTGAGATGGGCGTCAGGGAGGTCATACCTGAACTTCATGGAGGCATCAGGAAGTATCAGGAGTTGGTCAGGAAGAAAAATCAGTGGGAAGGGCACTTGAGACACACGTGTAGAGGGAAGGTGTGTTTGGGACCCTACAAGTAACGTGGGTTGGCTGTGTGGGTGGAGAGGTAGACACCAGATTATGAAGGACCTTTTTGAGAGGATTACATCTTATTCTGAGGTAGTGGGTAGTAATTGGCATTTCGTTCTTTGATTCACTAACGTTTATTGACTACTTCCCGCTGCTCCGATCACCACACACGAGAACCGGACACAGTCCTTGCCCTCGCAGCTTCCAGATAGAGGGGACAGCAGACACATGGGCAGGTGGTGCGTGTGGAGTCAGAAAGACCCTGAGATGTTTGTGTTTACATTTTAGAAGAGTCTCTCTGGCCCTTGTGACACAGTCTGCTCCCGTGACATGGCAATTTTTAGAAGTTAGTGTCTACAAAGCCTATGGAAGATGCTAAGTATTTATTTTTCTTTCCGAAAACGACATCGGACTGCTGGTTCCTCATATTGCTGTGGGGGTTTGTAACGGCCTCAGCTGCCCCCAGGCTGAAGAGGCTCAGACTCAAACACAAGGGAAGAAGGGGAAGAGAGAATTGTATACTCCCTCTGCGTAAGCTGTGCTTTTTAAAAACAGCAGCACCTTTGATAACATTTCAATTTTACATGTAGCTTCAAGGATCAGAAGACGTCTTCCCTTAACTTTAACTTAACTGCCAGGGTCCTCACGACTTCAGGGCTGATTGGAGTGCAGGAATGGTGTGTTGGGTGGACCCCTTGTTTGTAATCAGAGAAACCAAGGTTGGTGCTCTTCCAAGAGCCACTCCCTTTATTGATTCTGGCAGCTTGTGTGAGTAGGGATCTGGCCGTAAAAACTCACATCAGGGCCAAGGGAGAAGAAAAATCGGACTCCTTCGTTTCTGCCTTTTTAGCATGATATATATAGTATAGTGTCCTGGAACTAGCACCAGCCTGGAATTGGGAGATCTCAATCCAATTTCCAATCTTCCTGTTGACAGAAGCATAACCTAATTAGATTACCAGTTTTGGGTTTTTCTTTTTCTCCTTCCTCCTTCCCACCACACGCTGCCTCCTACCTGTCACCTCATATAAAAGTGCATGGTGTCCACCTTCCATTGCTCTTCTGAGGATAAGATGACCTCTCTGGAATACTTGGAAGTGTGCCCTTCCTGCGTTGAAAAGCATTTTGGGGGGCACTTGGGTGTCTCAGTCACTTGAGCATCTGACTCTTGATTTCCGCTCAGGTCATGATCTCATGGTTTGTGAGATCGAGCTCCATGTTGGACTCTGTGCTGACTGCTCAGAGCCTGCTTGGGATTTTCTTTCTTTCTTTCTTTCTTTCTTTCTTTCTTTCTTTCTTTCTTTCTTTCTTTCTCTCTCTCTCTCTCTCTCTCTCTCTTTTCTTCCCTCCCTTTCCTTCCCTCCCTTTCCCTCCCTCTCTCCCTCTCTGTCTCTCTCTCTCTCTGCCCCTCTCCTGCATATATGTGTGTGCATGCACATGCTGTCTCTCAAAATAAATAAATTAAGCATTTTGTTGTTGTTGTTTGGAATACAGTAACGCATAAAGGAGCTCTTTGCTCTTCTCCCAGAGAGTTCATTGCCTACTGGGAGCAGTGGACTGAAAGCAGACATTACAGATGAGACAGCTGCTGGGGCTAGGTTGTGCTCACAGGGTCCTGGGGCACACTGCGAGGGTCTGTGAAGCCCTCCTCCTTGGCAGCGTTGGGTGCAGCCAGTCATGGTCTAACGTGTAGATGAGTAGATCTTTTTCAGACTAAGACAGCCACCTGCAAGAAATAAGGGAGCAGGTCTAAGAATCTTGCTCTTCTGTCCTTCCTGGAGCCCCACGTTGGTGGACAAGTGTAGATGAAACGGGTATAGAGGGGGGCCTCAGGAAGTGTGGAGACTGGAAGCGTGAATTCAGGAGTCTAGTTGGAGTTTGTGTCGTTTACATATTCTTTCTTTCCTGCTTTAACCTTTTTGCTGGTAGTTGTGCCTGTTCCAGAACTCCTCTGTGGTTCTCTGCAGATAATGGCACCTGGACACAGCTGTGGCTCGTCTCAGACTACCATGAGCATGGCTCCCTGTTTGATTATCTTAACCGGTACACGGTGACAATCGAGGGGATGATTAAGCTGGCCTTGTCTGCGGCTAGTGGGTTAGCCCACCTGCACATGGAGATTGTGGGTACCCAAGGTGAGTGAACCCTGGTGAGTGAAGTTGAGTAGACTTTAAAAGCCTGTACCATCCTGATTTAGTTCCGAGAATTCGTCTTTACTGAGGAAGTTGGAGGTGAGCCTCAGGAACTGTGGCCTAATCTAAGGGAGAGAGGTCTGAGTTCTACATGAGAAAAAGAGGTATTTCCATTGGGGTCTCTTCACCTCTGTCTTTAGAATGCCCTCAGGGGCTCTAGAACATAAAGATTCCGTTGTCTGTCATTTGATGGCCTGGCACGGGTGTTGGTTGGTGAGCTAGTGTTCTGAGTTGCCCTCTCAGGAGCCCACGGTACACGGGTAAAAGCACGGAACCCAGAAGATGAAACAAGCTAGTGCAAAGGAGCACTGGTTTGGTAATTTCAGCGTTCACCGTTGGAAGCAGCTGGCTTATGGACTGCATGATGGATTAGACACTGGTCTTTACTGACCTGGGAGGGTTCTCCTGGAGGAAGAAGACCTCAGGCTTCCTCGTTTGTTGACTGTAGCATCAGTTCTCTGGGGGATCATGGTTCTCGTCAAGGTAGCAGGTGTGGTGTGCTCCCTGATTCCTGGTTGACCAGGGCAACAGCGTGTGCTGGCCCTGACAGAAAGCCAACCATTGATGTTTGATCCTGTTCCTAGCTCCCGTGAATGTAGTAATAGTAGTCCTGATCTTCACCTGTTTGACGGTGAGAACCTAGCCAGTGCAGCAGCTTTCCTTGGAATTCCTTAGCAGTTCTATCCTGGAGCATATCCGTTCAGGGAAAGTGGGGGCGGGGGTAGTGATAGTGGTAACAGCTAATACGCATGCCCTTCTAAGCTCTTCACTTACCTACACTAATGCGTTTAATCCTCACATTACCATGAAGTAAGGACTGGGGTAGCCTTATGGATGAGAAGGCAGAGGTGCAGATGGGTTAAGTCGCTTTTTTAGGGTTACTGGATTAGTGGGAGGCAAAGCCAGGACTCGAACCCACATAATCTGGCTGCAGAGACTATGCTTTTAACATTTATACTATCTCTCTGTAAAGATCCCTATGTTTTTCTCTGTCAGGGAAGCCTGGAATTGCTCATCGAGACTTAAAATCAAAGAACATCCTGGTGAAGAAAAATGGCATGTGCGCCATTGCAGACCTGGGCCTGGCTGTCCGCCATGATGCGGTCACTGACACCATTGACATTGCCCCAAATCAGAGGGTGGGAACCAAACGGTAGGAAGGCCCTGGGCCTCTGCCATTGTCCTACCCTTGTACCGAGTAGCACCTGTGTGCCCTTTCCCATGTGCACGGGAGAAAGAAGTATAGAAAAGGAGGTGTGGCCCTTGCTCTCAGACAACTGAAAGCTGAACTGAAGCCCCACTCCCCACAGTGGAAAGCTGAACTGGTTGCATCTAGCAGATACGAGTGCCATGAGCGCAGCTTCGTAGAACTATATACACATAGCTGTTCCTGGGCAAGGGGAGGCAGCAGAGAAAGAGAATCTAGAAAAAGATTTGGAGGGGGGACAGGCACCCGGCTTGGCTAGGACAAGAGGAAGCATGTGCAGTCCAAAGGGGTACTTGTGCAGAGACCCCGAGGAGGTAGGGATTGTGACTTGCTTGGGGGTTAGAGAGCAAGTCTGCCAAGCCAGAGCAGAGGTGATCTTAGGGTGGAGATTGGGGGCACCTTTAGGATGATGGGCCTACTTCCCACTTCATACAGAAGTGAAGTAAGAAGTAAGGAATTGTGATTGCAGACTGACTTTGTGAGTTGAAAATGGAACTGTCTTGTAATGGGACAGAAGAGGAGATCTGTTTACCTGTCAAATCTCCATGAACTTCACTAGATTGTGCTGCTGGTTTTCCCCTTTTGACATGAATGAGTGCAGCTACCCAGGCCCCAAAGTGTGAGGCCTGAGGTGATCCCCTGATTTGCCTTACTCTGTATGTGTGTTGGGGAGGGTGGGGGGGAGGGGAGTGGCTTGAGTAGTACTAATTAACTGAGGGAGACTTTGATGATCAGCTAGAATTAATTTTCATATATGTGTAATTAGGTAAGATAACAAAAGAGGTTCAAAATGAAATTTAAACTCAACCCATCACTGGCTACATTTAATAAAGTCCAGGACCCTAGTGGCAACCAGATACTGGGCACTGTTATTGCCCTGTGACCCGCAGTACAGATCCCTCTGCCAAGAAATCAAGACATGATTAAAATAAATCCCGGTGGCTAAAAAATAGAGGTACAAATAAGAGCAGCCTGGTATCACCTAACCTGTGCTGAAGTATTTAGATTCTAATCCAAAACATGGGAGTTTGCAATAAAGAAATTCGATCACTTGCTCCTCCCCAAGGGCCATTCTTGGGGGGATGCATTCCCACGTTCAGAGGGCCCCTGAATCACGACTTTGATTTAAGTAACGAAATCCTTTTCTGTGCATGATCTTGTTTCCTTTGCTATTGCAGATACATGGCCCCCGAAGTACTCGATGAGACCATTAATATGAAGCACTTTGACTCCTTCAAATGTGCCGATATCTATGCGCTCGGCCTTGTGTATTGGGAGATTGCTCGAAGATGCAATTCTGGAGGTACCTTTCTTTTTGGCCTTCTCTTGCTCCTACCTCCCAGTCTAGAATGCCAGATCACCTGAGGGTGCTGGTGCCTTACTGCCTCCTTTCTTTTTACAACCTGTTGGATGCCTAGTGCCAGAGCCTGTCACAACTCAGGGTTCTCTCAAAGATGAGGGAACGTTGGAGGGGGTTGTACAAGGGTGTGTTGACTCTGTTGGATAGTGTTTTGCATAGAAGTAACCATTCCAGAGGCTTGTCTGGCTTTTTTTTTTTTTTTTTTTTTTTAAAAACACATCGTCCTTATTGATCCTTAAGAGGTTGGGAAAGCCCTGGGCAGGAATAGTTCCAGACTAATTCAGGGGGTCTCCTTTACACAAGAGGCACTAAGTGTGTTCTGACATGGCTCTCTAGCCACAGTGCTGGGAAATGTGGGGGTTCGTTGATAAAATAATAGTGGTAATTTCTGAATCTGGAGCAGAAAGTTTCTTATACGTAGAATTTTCTCAAAATGAGGTTTTTTCTTCCTGTAATTTTTTCTTACATTTTTGGCATTTGCACCTGTTAACCCATGCCAGAATCTAGTAAAAGGTAGTATCAGACCTAGCAGGAAACAGTTTTTATCATTAACTTAGCACATCAGTACTTTACAGCGACTTCCAAGTATTCTGCCATGTGAATGTGTTCAGGAACCACTAGAACCTTTCCCTCAGCTATTTATCTTTGATGTAAGAGATTCCAGGTCATTGGAAATGAAATTAAATTTAAATTAAATGAATTAAAACTGACAAGTCTTCCAGCAGAACCCTCTTCTGTATTACTGCCCTTTTCCATCTCTGATGTGTTTGGGAAGATCCAAATTATGGAGTAGCCACACAGGTATTACTCATGGAATTGTACTTTTAAAATTTTTTTTAAATTTATTTTCTGGGGCACCTGGGTGACTCAGTTGGTTGGGCATCCAACTTTGACTCAGGTCATGGTCTTACGGTTCATGGGTTCGAGCCCCTCATTGGGCTCTGTGCTGACAGTTCAGAGCCTGCAGCCAGCTTCAGATTCTGTGTCTCCCTCTCTCTGCCCCTCCCCTGCTCACACTCTGTCTCTCTCTTTCTTAAAAATAAATAAACATTAAAAATTTTAAAAAATAAAATAAAAAATAA